AAAAAAAAAAAAAAAAAAAAAAAAAAAAAAAAAAAAAAATATATATATATATATATATATATATATATATATATATATATATATATATATATATATATATATATATATATATATATATATATATATATATATATATATATATATAAATCCTGTAACCACTGACTTTTTTTTTCTTTAACCAGTTAAACTCTGCTGATATTTTGGGAATTTGCCTACCCAAATTTAAAAGCTTCCCAAATCCATATGCAGAGGTGGTATCATTGTAAAGAAAACCCTTTGAATTTCCATAAAACACTAAACTTGTCTGTGTTATAGTAAACACCTGAAAAAGTTTTTCGTATTTTTTTATAAACTCAAAGTTGAAGGTGTACCTTTTATGTTCTGTGTGGTCTAGTGTGCTGTTATTAATTTTGGTGGTTCCTGCACATGTCTGTAATCATAGGAAAATAATAAAAATGTCTCTACCATAATCTATGCAAAAGTTATTGTATTCCAACTGATGAGAGGTGCTGTACAAGCCACAGTGAGCGATCATTGTTTTCATATTTCACTATTCTTTTGTTTGATCAAACATAATTCACTGTGTTTGGACCACGTCAGTCATATAAAAGGATTACTTATGCACATCACCTCAAAGACAGAGGAGAAATGGCCCTGAAGCACACAGCATAAGGTAAGAGATGACAGCTGTCTGTGCTATCTGGGGCTGCTTATTGATCATAAATGTATTGTTTTCACTTCTGCGCCATGGAAACACCACGATTCATTCGGCAACTGTTTAATATGTGAATATAATTCATTAAAAAGAATGCTAGAACCGTATGAGCACCGGCAAGAGCTTTCATTTGAGCTATAACTTGTACATGTTTTATATATGAACCATATGAAAATAAACAAATGTAAAATACCCAGCTGGAGTATCCAAAATACTGTGTATTTAAGTGTAAATAACTTTTGTACAGTAGGATAAAAAACAAAGTGATGCATATGTGCATAAAATCTAGATTCTACACTTTTAAACGAAACCACTTAAGGGGTCTGGTGCAATGCTAGCCCTTTAAATCTTAAAGCGAAAGTCGATGACAGCACAGACTCGGTACCGGATCGGCAGAGTTTAACTGGTTAAGTCAAGTTTTGACAGTTTTAGCAAATCAAGTTCATCTAAATAAAACATGATTAATAGCTTTGGATTTCACGTAAGAAAACATGCCATACAGTAAACCCTAATAAGTTCTGTCTTTCTTTCTCTCCAGCTCGAAGACGCTCAAACTAAAAGACACGAGAAGCTGCTGGAAACTCATAAGAACATTCTACAGCAGATATTAGACGAGAAACCCAAGGTAAGAGCTCACTGTGCACAATATTACACAGGACAAAACATTTATTATAATATACTTATAATTATTCATTCATTCATTGACTTTTCAGCTTAGTTACTTTATTAATC